TATGCATACGATCCACTCAGACATAAGTAGCAAGTCTCAGAACGCTACTCAGGGAACTTTTAAAACGTTTAAGACATTTGTGGGTTCTGTCTCCAATATCCAAGTAGAGTCAGAGCCTTCTCCTAAAGATAATAATAATCTTTAATGGGGAAAAAAATCAATTTTAATTATGCAACACTAAACTGTAACAGTTTAGTGAAGACACAATCTTCAACAGTACAGTCGTCTTATATCCGTTATCTTCGTCTTCAACAACTTGATATTCTATCTTTACAAGAAACCCATGCCTCTCCTTCTACTATTCCTTCCCTTGATATCCAGTTCCAAGCCCAACAAACCTTTTGGACTCACCACTGTGGTATTATATCATTCTCTCCTGATTTTATTTTGACTCAGATTTCCACTGATCATATATTCTCGTCGGATCGTTTTATTTTGTGCAAAGTGCATCACCCCCACAACTTCTACGATCCTTTTTACATTCTCAACATTTACGCACCAGCGGATTCAAACCCGGCTCGCCGAAGTTTTTTTGAATCAGTCTGTGACATGCTATATATTCTAACGGACACTATTAATATCAATCAGCTGATTATTTCAGGTGATTTTAATTATGATGTTTCACGCGATATAACTAGTCGAAAGGGATTGTTTAAAACCTCCGCACAATGGCTTACATACCTCGATTCTCTGTTCTACAACAGTATGATTCATAACAGTATGCATACCCTACCTACTTTCCAACGCCAAATCGGTACAACGTCGACTATTGACTATATACTTAGGCCTAACACTGAAGAATAACATCAAAGATGCGTCTATTCAGTATATTCAAAGTAAATGGTCAGATCATGCGCTTCTACAGCTTCAACTAAATGTAGGTACCTCAAAAATGGGCCCTGGCTTATGGCGTCGTAACCCAGCCTATGCAACCAACCCGAAGTTCCAAGCTCTACTTTCAACCAAAATCGAGCAAACATTAACTGACACTAATACGAATAATGCACAACTTTTGTGGGAAAAAATCAAAGATGTCACGGAACAATGTATTAAATCTTTTGGTATTAAACATGTCTCCTGGCGAGCATCATCATTGAAACTTCTCGAGCGTAAACGAAATAGGCTACTGAGATCTAAACCACCGCTAGCCACGCTCCTGTTACTACTACCAAAAATTGATCAGATGATTGAAACTCTACAACAAGAGTTAGTCGACATCTCTGCATTAAAAGCTGGTGTGGTTTGGCGGGAGAAAGGTGAAAAATCTGCCAAATATTTGAAAGCTATACATAAAACTCGAACCGCCCAACAATATATGTCTGGGATACAAGTTCCTACGTCTAGTTCAGATAGCCCTCCAACAGTGTCAAACAATACGGACCACATGAAAACGTCAGCCCGACAGTTCTATCAACATCTCTACGATGCCTAACCAGTCAGTGACGACGCCATACAAGATTATTTGGACGATATTCAGTTTTCAACGACGCTGGACCCCAATGATGCTGTAAAACTTATGAAACCGTTTACTATTGATGATTTAATAGAACAAGCTTCACGTTTGACAAAGCAAAGTAGTCCTGGTGCAGATGGACTTAGTTATCCTTATCTTGCGGTACTATTTCAAATTCCCATTTTAGAAAGACTAATCACAGATTTATATAATCAAGCCTTGGAGGGTGTATTCCCAACATCTTGGCAAGATATTCGAGTGCGACTGTTACCAAAAAAAGGGGATCTGTGTCTACTAAAGAACTGGCGACCAATCTCATTAATCAATTGTGACGCCAAAATTTTTACACGACTACTCGCTCAAAGGTTAGGTTGTATGATGAACAAGTTTATCAATCCCTATCAAACGGGTTTTATACCCGGAGGATTTATTGGTGATAATGGTCTAGCACTGTCCATGATCCTAGATCAAGCATGTGGATTCGACTGCCCTGGTGTTGGGATCTTACTTGATCAGGAAAAAGCCTATGATCGGGTTCACCCTTTATACCTGTGTCGAGTTCTTAAATGCTTTGGATTCCCCAGGTCATTCATTACATGCATTCGCCGACTGTTTTTTGATAATACTATATATGTCAACATCAATGGATATTTCACTGACGCAGTATCACAAAAAGCGTGGTTTACGACAAGGCGACCCGTTATCACCTTTACTATTTAATTTAGCTCTTGGACCGTTCATCCTGTCTATATTACAAGATGATAGTATTACAGGCTTTCACCTGCCTTCAACTATTAATACTGTCAGTACTCCTATCAAATGTTTAGCATATGCAGATGACGTTTGTGTGATTGTAAAAGACGCTCTCGAACTAGAAGGCCTTGAGTACCGTATGGATAAGTACGCTAGGGTGTCTAATGCCAAATTCAACGAAGACAAATCCGAAGCTTTCTCACTCAATGGTAAACATGATAGCAATTGGGAAACGTTCCTAACTTCTAGAGCCATTTGACCTACTATCACGAATCTTCACTTTCGATACTAAGATATCTTGGTTTTTATCTGCCATACTCAGCTCAACAACGAAAATCGCTGGAGAGTAAACTACCCAAATTTGCATCAACAAATTAATAAGATTATCCACCCTGTATCAAACCTAGATTATTTATCTTGTCTATGTTACATCCACGAACGTTTCATCAAGTCCCACCACTCCGTGATGTGTGACTTAAAAATTTGTATTAAATCATACCCTTAACAAAAAAAAAAAAAAAAAAAAAAAAAAAATCAGAATATTGTGCTCCTCATTTGTTATTTATTTTTGCGTGTAATATATGCCTCTAATTCCCTTGCAAACATTTGACATATGGCGCATCTCAGCGATAACCAAAACTTTATTCCAAATTTCGAAATTGTACTGATCGCGATCATCATTTAACATTCAAAAATATTTTCGGACTGCATCCAAGTGTAATTGAGGACCGCGGTTAGAAATGAGCTATGCAATGACACTACAAAACATGAACTCATTTTTGCTGAATTTATTCTGAAGTAAGAAATCATGCAAAATATAAAAAGGGCAAAATGTTATTCCGTACTATTTTTTCAATTAACCCTCTCCAGGGTTTGAACTTACAATTTTTTTTTTTATAAAATTGTCAACTTCAAAATGTATATCCTCAATCAATAACAAAGATATCGATATTCTGTTGTAAAAACATCATTTTTAATCATTTGTAAATTCATAATTTTAGGACAGAAGTGCAAAAAAAAAAAAAAAAAAAAAAAACTGAGGGAGGAGATATAGTTATTTTGAAAATGGTCGTAAATTGTTTTGGTTATAGCTGGGATGCACCATACCCAGCTACTACTACTTCTTATAAATGTACCACACATCTTTTGTTATTAAATGTTCGAGCATAATAAAGAATTTATGGTTGGTCGAATTTAAAGCCTGTATTACTGTAGACCCAGTGCCATTTTATTTTCTTGAGAATTTTTCAAATTGATTTTTAACTAAATACTGAAATAAAAAGATGAATTCATCCGTACAGCTTGGTTAACCTTAATGATTCTAGTAAATCAGGGGGGGGGTCTTTACGTTACTTAGTTTACCCGCCCACTTTCACTTTTTTGCCTTCTTATTAAATGATGATGGACAAGGATTGTTCGATTGAGATTTTAATTCTGGACGAGTGTACACTGTAAGGGTAGAACCTTGTTGCATAATTAATGGATCAATTATTTCAGGGAGCATTATCCATATCATGATAAAGTACCCTTTATTATCTCTTGAAAAAATTTATCCATTCTATTCATATGGTATCACTCATAAAATGAAGATAGTATTTACCTGTCCCTAGTAACCTTTTAGGTACATTGTACAGCTGATCCTCAGGATCACCATCCTCAGTGACGACGGTATGTCGATACCATCAACAATCACAACTGTCAACATATACAATTCTATTTCTTAACCCCCATTCCAACGCGAGCATCAAGAGTTTCTATCATTGATTTCTGGTAAAAAGAGTTGGGCTTAACAACGACTTTTAATGCAAAGATTACACTTATTAAAATTCAGTTATCCTTATTTGATTTCTTGATGGTGCTTCTGCTTTTTTTTTTTTTTTTTTTTTTTGGTAGTGCTGACGCTGAGGGGCTGCTTATTGCTGGTGTCCTGTTACTATTGCTTCTATTAAAAAAGCTGTTGTTGCGGCGGATGCCATTGATATTTGGAGCCGTGAAGGGTGAGGCATCTTAATGTATATCAATTGGTTGGAAAAAAGAGAGAATATTCATAAATACCGTTTTAAAGCATGCAATAAAGGCTTAAGCAAAATAACACTGATTTCTAAAAGACTGTTACAGTGGAGAGCCTTATTCATATTTGAGAAAAATCAGTGAGAGAGCTTGCTTGGCTTCTATTTGCGTTGACCTACTTTTATAAAATAGCGTGATTTATAAATTCCTTTTTTCAAAAAAAAAAAAGTACCTGCCCACTTCCCTCTTTTTAACATATTGGCTTCCATCTTTAATCGTCTAAGACAGAGTTACGATTACTAAACTGCATTGCACCCAAAATAAATTCGACGAAGAATTACTTACCAATTAGTGTTGTTACTACAATATTGGCCACGATCTTGATTTTGTATAAGTTTCGAACTTCAAAAAAGACCAATTGGAAGCTAAAAACGTCCCTATGGATTTTTAAAATTCCGTTCAATAAATGGCAGTTGGAAGCTATATCACTGTATATCTACACGATATAATGAATCTTTTTGTTTTTTTAGTATTTCGAGTCGTACAACGTATCAAAAACAAAATGATGTTATAAAGCAAAGCGCGGGTTTTCTATTTTGACAATTACTAAATAAAGAAGGTAACAATACTTTTTAATAGGAAAAAAAAAGGGGGAGGGGATAAACAGTTTTTTTTAAATATATATAAAACAAAGCTTTTTTTTTTTTGGTGTAAGAATAAGAGTTATAAGCAGAAAGAAACATAATGTAAAAAAAAATAAAAAAAAAAATCACGCTTTTTTTTTTTTTTTTTTTTTTTTTTTTTTTTTGTAGGGGGACTCTATTTTAGGCGGAAGGATTCTTTCCAGCAGCAGCAGCAGCAGCAGCAGCAGGTATAATGGAGGGAGAAGCAGGTCTACTCAGACGCTTTCTCTTTTCTTTTTCGGCCACGACACCAGGAGGTTCTGGGGTGACGACAACAAGGTTATCACGACCACCTGTGGAAGGAGGTGCGGTCAAGACATGATGGACATGCCTGGTACCTGGTTCATGGATATGACAGACATCGATTTGTTGCACCCATTTATCAGCCAAGACGGTAGCCAAGGTAGATCTTCTAGCGGGGTCAATGTCCAAGATACCTGCCATGACGGGTCTAGCTTCACGTGGTAATAACTTGAGTAATCGAAACTGTTGTTGGTTTTGGTTGGTGGCAAATGCTCGGAAAGAAGGATCACTTTGACGGGGTATTCTCCAAGGGAAACGTCTGATTGTCATACAGAGGAATACAATACCACAGGACCAGACATCGGAAAGACGAGGATCATAGGTAGGCTGAGTGTATTGTTCAGGAGCAATATAAGGATCCGAGCCATAGATGCCTGCAAAAAATTAAAATAAAGTGTATATAGGGTATGATTAGTTCAAAGGAATGGATGATGGTCATTTCTTTTTTTACCTTTAGTTTGTGTAATATTATTTTCAAATGGATATTTATATACAGTAGAGCATCCAAAGTCAATGATCTTTAATATTCCATAATGATCCAAAACCAAATTATCTAATTTGATATCGCGATGCGCTATACCCATCGATTGAAGATATTCAAGCCCATTTAACAACTGACGCCAACAACAAGCAACTTCTTCACGAGACATCATGCCACTCATGACGACATTGAAAAGATCGTTAGGAGCATACTCCATAATTTCAAAGTAACTACTACCCTCTTGAATGATATCGAGTGTTTCAATGATATTGGGATGATGTAGTGTAGACCCAATACAGAATTCGGCTGTTACCTTTTTAATATACTCTTTTTCACTTTCTTGCACTAATCGCTTTCTAAATTGTTTAACCGCAAATGTCTTTTGGTCCGCCGAACGTCTTATCAGCCTGACCGAACCTCCAGCTCCTTTTCCAATATATCTTCCTGGAGGGGTGTGTGTTTGTGTTAGCTCTCGTTTTAAAGATTATTCTATATATCTTTTTTTATTTACCCCATGTTCCATATTTACCACCAATATCCTGTCGAAATTGGTTGGCAAATGTACCAGGTTTTGTTGCAGAAGTAGTGATGATGGTATTATCTTCATGAGAATGTGATGATGAAGTGGTAGGTGACGTTGGTGACACAAGACACTGTTGTTGTTGTTGTTGTTGTTGAGTATTTACAAAGAATCTACGTAAATCAGACCAAGCCAAAAATAGATCCTTACGGTCTGAGGTATTATTATTGTGTAAAGAGGAGGAAGAAGATTGACGATGAAAATGGGTTTGGTGGTATCTTTCATCATATTCTGGTTTTTTAAAGACAAATTGTGAGGGTGTGGAACAAGTACTAGCAGGTCGGTGTGATAAAATGGGTCGGGGTTGTTGTTGAGAGGTGGTAAGAAGAATAGGTGCGGCTGCTGCATTGGAATTTGTACAAAAAGTGGGTTCTGCAGATGACGTAGAAAGTGTTGGAGAAGGTGGTTTAGAAGATTGAAATAATTGTGAACGGGGCCTAGCATGATTGTTATTATTTTTGGCTTTCACAGCACCACCACCACCACTATTATTATTATTGTTGTTGTTGGCTAATAGTTTGGATAGCTCTGTTAAATCCACTGCTGTAGCATCCCATGACTTTCGATGAGGTTTGCTACTTGTTGCAACTGTATGAGTCACCACTGCTGGAGACAGTGATGGGCTAGAAGGTACTGACCTATCCGGTGTAGTAATAATATCATATCGTTGATTCACAAGGTGAAGCATTGTATATGATTTATATTTAAGAAAAGAGAGATGAAAAAGAAGAAGAAGAAAAAAAAAAAGAGAGAGAAGGAAATAAAGAAAATCAAACCCATTGGATCCAAATATATATTTTCTGACCCTTTTGGTCCCGAGTATTTTCTTTTTTTTAAAAAAAAAAAAAAAAAAAAAAAAAAAAAAATGTCGTATGGTGGTAATGACGGAGTTTATTAGTGGCCAATTGGAAACATAAGAAATGAAAAAAGGGGGCTCTGCAAACAAATTACATCAATAAGTGTTATAATTTCCTTCTCTCTTTTTTTTTTTCCTTTGGTAGCTTTACATTTTCCTTTTTTTTTTTCTTTTTCTTTTTTCTTTTTTTTTTATTTATCTCCCTTCTTATAAAAAAAAAAAAAACTCCCGTCAATGTTTCGTAAATCTGTCTCGATTGATTTGGTGGAACCAGTGGTTTGTTTACGAGGACAGCCTAAAGATAAACAGACTATAAATATACTGCGTGGTGCAATCAGACTAGGATTGTCTCATTCATCCATTGTACACAGCATCACTGTTCAATTTATTGGTACATCCAAGACACTCTGGCCCGAAGGTATACTCAACCCTAAAAAAATACAACAGAGAAAAAAAAAAAAGAAAAAAAAACAGCATATTAAAAAAAGGATAAACATTAAAAAGCTTCCCAGCATTGGGATAAGCATATTTTGGTAGATTCCACTATTCCCATTTCTAAAAATTCACTGTTACTCAAAAAAGGTACACACGCCTTCCCATTTGAGATTTTGTTGTCCAATGCGCTCTCAGAATCTATCGAATGCGGACTTGGACATATCCGTTATAAACTCCTCTGTCAGGTGCATGTGAAACCAAGATTCCTCCTCATCAAATCTATCCTACGTTCTCAAAAACAGGTGGTTCTCATCCGTCTACCTAGTCAAGAAATACAGCAACAACAATGTATCACACAAACACATGTGATTAATGACACGGGTGGTCAACTCACACTCAACATTGAACGAGGTCAACTTATACCTGGCATCTTCTTACCCATCACTTTTCATTTTAATGGTAAATGTGCTGTCAAAGCCATTGACCAATTATCCGTTAAATTAATCGAACGTCAAAAATACAAGGCACCATCGATGCAAACTACCCGTATCTTACACCACGAGATTGCCTTATCACCTCCAAATAACACCAACTTGTCATTAACGGAATTGGCAAATGACACAAGCAGTGAGATACGCATTGTTTATGTGGTACCAGATAAACATACACTCAAAGTAAGACCCTCCACATCTCATCCCAACATTCGCGTGCGCCATTGGATACAAATCTACACCAGGTTACGTTTAAAGGATGGTTCAATTAAGGATCTGCAGATGGATGCACCTATTTCCGTTTTACTATCATCCATGGACGATTATTTAACCTTACCCGTATACAATCAAAAAGAAGAAACATCAGCAGCATCAGCATCAGCAGCATCAGCAGCAGCTGACAGTACTCCTTCCAACCTAACAACCACAAATCCTACTGTATCGCATGCATTATCCTCTACATCTATAGCATCATCATTAGCTTCCTCTATGAGACCTAACCTATGGCTGAAAAAGCTATACCCTATTAAAAATACCAGTAATCGAATATTGGATGATAAAGCATATCATGGCACAAACAATAATTTAATGCTCTTAATGACCGCTCCTCCCCCGCTTTACGAAGATGTACACTAAATAATTTTTTTTTTATCGCAAAAAAAGAAAATAAGCGATAAGATAAGGTTATCTTACTATTGTATACTGTTACACATAATTATAATAATAATAATAATAAAAAAAAAATTCATTTTTTTTTTTTTTTTTTTTTTTTGCCACCCAAAAATGCACGATTGCATTTGCCAAGAGAAACATGTAAGCTCGGTCGAAAGAAACATATCAAGTTACAATACATCTGCTTACTTATTAAGGAGTGATGGAGGGGAAATAAGAAGGGGTTAAGAGAAAAAGTAGGGGAATAGGGCCTAGTTTGTGCACTTTCTTCGTTTATAGCTCTCCTAAATTTTCTTCTTTTCCGCATGCATGACAGGAGATGGGATAAAGTTGAAAAAAGGGCCTTTAGAGAGTGTTGTTTATTTTACCCTTTTACTTTATTTAAAATAAATTATTTTTTTTTTTCTGAAGAGGTAATATAGATGATAATGCATCATCCAAACACTTTTATGCGCACACATTGGTTTATTTCTCATTGCATTTACAAACAGATTTCAAAAAAAAAAAAAATTATATCTCTCTCTTTCCCCCGTACATAAAATCGTCATTTTCGTAGGATTTTCTTTTTTTCCCTTGATTCTACAAAGAGTTTTGTTTTTGCCCGTAAAGTACAATTACCAAATACAGAATTTCTGTTTAGGTGTATGAGGCGTTCCATGTTTTACTATCATATCATAAATGTCATGCACGGCCATCTAACAAGATATTTAAACCAATGAAATGCAGTTGATCTCGCTATATTGAATTTGGGGGGCCTCAGGAGAAAAAGAAATAATGCGGTCATTGTATAAACTAGCAAAAAAAAAAAAGAGTTTCTTTTTCTTTAGTCGTCGTTATTCTATCCTATCTCGGTACAGATCTTTACCTTTTAGATTTTATGCACTCAAATAATAGACACCCTCAAATGTAGTAAATTTTTTAATTTAAAAAAAGTTGATATAAATGTGGAATGAGAATTTATTCCTAAAAAAATAAATGTATTTCTAGATCCTAAAAAAAAAAAGGCGGTTTTACAAGAAGAACTAGACCGCGTGCATGATGAGGTTTAACAAAATCAAATCTTACCTCAAATGTAAACAAAAGGTCTGGATCGGTGATGAAGCATTTTTTTTAGGTTTTTTTTTTGTAAAGTGTAACACACCATGAGACGGATTTGTTTATTTTCGTTTCGAGTTCTTATATCTGTGATCGTCAATGCGGCGTGGCGGGCGTAACAAAAAAGAGCCGTTATTCTCCCCCCCCCCATAACACATAGTGTCATTTGATTTTTTATTTTTTGCATGTTGGGCGTATATAGAATTTTACCTTTTTTTTCTAAGAGTCAATCCTATTTTTTCAGTACCAAGTTGATATAAAGGCAGTTTTTCGCCCCATACGATTGTGTTTGTCCCGAAAAAAAAAAAAATTCGCAGAATTTTGCGCCCACGCAACACAAAGGATTGCTTTATTTGTCTGTGTTACCCTGTCGTCAGATTCAATTTTTTCTATTTTATACAGTGCTCACGCGCCTGTTTGATTTTTTTTTTTTTTTCGAATCCCATAATTTCCCAAATTCACCCTGATAGATTTTTTTTTTAGCAGGTGAAAGATACCATTCAAAGACGAATATGTTTTGGTTTGGCTGTAATTATCAACCCAGTTTTAGTCATCGTCTATTCTAAACTAATAGTCACTCTTTGTGTACATGTATTCAACAGCCTTTATAAAGTGTTATCTCTCAAAGTCAGTAGCGAGTACGCCAAGATTAATCTGTGCAAGAAACACGGTTAAGATAAACCTGTCCGTTGACTAGACAACGAGTTGGATTTTATACAACACTCTTTGGTCAAAAACCTGAAGCCATTGTAACAATGGAATATTCTTTATATGTATACCAAATACTATCCTTTGATTCAAACTTTGTAGCCAAAGCTAATTGATAGCAAGTTTTTGAACTATTCCAAGAAACAGAAGGTTAAAATATTGAAGAATTTTTATTGATTAAATGGAAAAAACGGGTTTCAATTTTTTTTATAAGAAAGGATTGAAATAGATGGTTAACCAGGGAGTATGAATTAGAAATACAGACATTAATAATGTCGATCAATAAATGGTTAATTTTTCAGTGCTGGGTGGCCATTAAATACCGAGTAGATGATATACAATGTGAGTATATATCATTTTATCTACAAAGCATCCCCCTTCACTCTCATGATCCTCTTCATCTTCCTTAAGCTCCTCCTCCTCGTCTTCCTCATAGTCCTTCTCGACGGTCTCCTCTATAACCTCACTAGTTTCATCCCAGTCGCAGCCGTCCTCCAGAACAGACATGTTCCGGCCAGAGCAACTTCGTTTGCCAGTCTTTGATATCCGTCACAGTCCTTGTTCCCACGAGGTCATTAATCTTATTAATGTGCTTTTGAATCCTTGCATCATTTATTTTATTCTTCATATCTAAGGCAGAGCTCTACAACAATTTACGGCTAATTGAGCTAACTGTACTGTGAGTGATTGCAAGGACACATTACCTTTATATAGGACAGGGTATTCAAAAGCTTCTCGATTCCTCCTTCCTTGACTTGGCTTTTAGTGGCAGGGTATGAGAACGTGGCAACATTAACCAACATATACTGCTTGGGCTTTAATAAGACGAGATGAAGAAGATGGCCGTCAAATCCCATAATTTGCATGAGAGGCATATATGCATCCGATGGGTTACATGATGTCTTCTTGTAGGAGGGAATTCAAGTGGAGTTTAGACAACAATACCAGCTTGAGCTTATCCAAATAGTACTTACTGGAGGTGCATTTCTTAGCGAATTCCGTCAATGAGAGATCTGAAAGATCTGAAGAGACTGAAGGAGCACTCACACGAAGATCTAATTTAGATGTGATACTTGATTTGCTTAAGAAGCCAGGTATCGTATCTCCCCTATTAAGTATTTAGGTTAGTAATCATAATTACAATGACATTTTTTTAGTTTCAATCCACTGAAGAACTAGGATTCAAAAGCGGAATTCATTTTCTTTACCATTTCAAGTTTATGTTTCCATATCCAAAGATTTCCTCCAGTATAAATGACCAAGATTTAAGCTTAAAGTCTTCTTCGGAGTAAGACTTAATATTGGCACTTGAAAACATGCCTGGCTTGTTGGTGTGTTGATTTAAGCTTAAAAAGAATGAAACGAAAAAGCTATATAGTAGATAATTAGATATCCAAAAAAAAAAAAAAAAAAAAAAAAAGCTTACATAATCGAAAAACTTCCTTCTGAGCACGCTCGGTATTATTCACAACCTTAACCTTATCGATTTCAGCAAATTTTGCTTTTAACCCGATGGATTTGTTCATGATCGGACTGAACTTCCTAGAGATGACATCCTTGATGGTAAAAGTCTTCTGGTGTTCTTCCAGCTCGACTTTGATATCATTTACGAGGTTTTCAAAGTATGATCCTTCACTATTATTATAACGGTCATAAACATTATTTTTTGTGATCCTGGGGAGCATATATTTAGCCAGCGAGTTTTAGCAGAACTACTTATTACCATTTGAAATATTCGAATTTTTTCGAATCTTTTTTATTCTTGTTGGACCGGTACTTGCTGTAATCGCCTACAGCAGGTGCCATAAGGATGCCACGATGCCATAAGGATGCCACGATGCCATAAGGATGCCACGATGCCACGATGCCATAAGGATGCCATAAGGATGCCATAAGGATGCCATAAGGATGCCATAAGGATGCCATAAGGATGCCATAAGGATGCCACGATGCCATAAGGATGCCATAAGGATGCCACGATGCCACGATGCCATAAGGATGCCATAAGGATGCCACGATGCCACGATGCCATAAGGATGCCACGATGCCATAAGGATGCCATAAGGATGCCATAAGGATGCCATAAGGATGCCATAAGGATGCCATAAGGATGCCATAAGGATGCCATAAGGATGCCATAAGGATGCCATAAGGATGCCATAAGGATGCCACGATGCCATAAGGATGCCACGGTGCTTACTGTACTCTGCTACAGTAAGCACTGTAAGTCTACCACGACTTACGCGTCTTCTGATCGCCTAAAGTTTACAAAGATAGTTTGAGAAATTGTGAATCTAATGCAATTAACACTAAATCTTACCTCGTTCTACTCTTTTGATCCGGCTTCTGCGAACGTTTATGTATAGCCCTTGCTCTTTATTAGCGAGTTGTTCAAGAGATCTTGAACTCGCAGTCCAAGAGAAATAGGTTCTGATACGGAAATGGTTAGCTCCTCTGTATTTTTTTTTTCAAACGTAATTTTTTTTAAAGATCACTTACAGCTCTCCTGGACAAAGACCAGCAAGCCAGTCTGATTGCACTCATTTATAGTCCAGTCACAGCCATTTACGGTCTCCACATCCAGTGAGTCTGTCCAAGAAACCAACATGGGAGGATCACCATTACATATCAAAGACTAACCGTAGCAAGAATGGCAATATATCTTTTTTCATTTTTAAAAAGAAAGAGGTGATGATTTAATATTTCTTGAAGAAACAAAAGTCATTATAAACCAACCTTTTTTTTTTTACAATATTAATTCCAAAGAAGAAAAGTATGTTAAGAGAAAAGAGAAAAGGGGGAAAAAAAAGTGCGTGTGATAAAACAAGAGCTTATGTTAGAATGATTTAATCGTTTATCTAAGGCGCACCTGCTGACGCACCGATATCGGGCTTTAAAATACATTTTTTACGTGATATATTCATTTTTGGTACGCGAAAGTAGTGCAACGAGCTATGACATAATATTTTCATTTTGGGTGCGCGGAAAGGGTGTGTCAAGATAGGAACAACGTATTTGTATTATATTTTATAAGCAACAGTACTTTGCTCAAAAGTTCCCTTCGTTAAATTTTAGTCCTACTTTTACCTATTAAAAAAATGAACATTTTTGAAGTTACAGAATAAGGTAATCGCGAACGATCGAAACCATCGGAATCGTAAGTCCTTTTGCTGTTATAGTGCATTCGCATTCCAATGCCGATGAGTATGGAAGAAAGCACAACATGATATTCGTTACTGTTGATTCAGAACTAAAGAGAAATGAAATCTTCTTAGCTTAAAAGTAGTTTGGTAAAAACAAAGTAGCCGAACAGTAAAGTGTGTATTGCCATTTGTTAATCTTTAAATCATAAGCATGCCATGAAGGAATAGCCTTATTTATGTGAAACTGATTATACGTGTCAATCTTATCTTAAATTATAAGAATGCAAATGAATTTAAAGGCGATACCTGTGATTTTCATTTAAGAAGGCCTTGTTGTATTTAAGTAAGATATAAAATACGATCCGCCATAGCTCATGCATTCGCTTGACGCGCACCAAAAATGAATATATTACGTAAGAAACATACTTTAAAGCCCGATATCGGTGCGCCAGCAGGTGCGCCTAGAATACCCCAAAATGAATATATATTACGTAAGAAATATATATTAAAGCCTGATTTCGGTGGGCTGTTACATAGGGATTCAAATTACCTACTGACTTAGATAACTGTACCATACTTGAATAACTTTTTGACTATAATAACAAAATCTTAACCTTTAAGGATGCTATCTTTCTTAGAATATAATTGGGGTGTAAAGGATTAATTTTATTAATATACGATGTTTTTCTAATGCTATCTCGCTGCGTTTCAAGAGGTATTTATCTTACCAATAGCCGTCACTGGTACTGTGGCGTATTATTTGCCTCGCACTTTCAATATCCGTCAGAAACACCTCACAACAACCCTAGAAGGTGCGCCAAGAATTATCTAATCATCCATAATAAGGGGTATTTTCGAATAAATCGTATTTTGAGGAATAAAAAAAAAAATCAGCCAATCATAAATTTTTATTGTAGAATGTTCGTGAAAAAACTTGGTCAAATAATTAAAAAAAAATATGATTGGCTGAATTTTTTATTCGTCAAAATACGATTTATTCGAAAATACGGCAATTGAATACCCTTAATGGTTCGGGGAATTATTATTTACTTGAAATAAAATTTATTTGCAAACACCCGAAACAAGCAGCTGTCTATGAGCGTTTCAGTAATAGGATGTACTGGTAGTGAAGCATATTTTATGATACACCAAAATCCAGCATCCTATTACGAAGTTTAGAAAAAAAAATAGTTAGGATGAAATGGCATGTCAAATTGACGTAATTAATCATTTTTTTTTAACCTTTTTTTTTGGGCGTATGTGTAGACTTTACTAAAAAACAAATACGGAGGTCTAGACATTTCCATCTGAAGTAATAAGGAGCAGGGAATTGTGAAATGACGACCTTGATGGATAAACGTAGCATGTGATGGCCTTCAAAATGAACACATTGTGACACAAGATCAAGTTGTTTTCGCGTTTTAGGTCTTCTTTTTTTCCGCGGATGAGTAAAGAATCTTTTTGTGATCCAATCGTGTTCTCGAATAGCTTGGTCGTCTAGACCTAATTTTTCGCATTGTATCCGGTCAAATGAGAAAGTGTTACCTAAAAAAAAAAACCCTGTTATTTACGACTCTATCCTAATATGGCTCCATGAATAATAAAGCAACAAATGGTGTAGTTAAGCCGTACCCATTGAGCATCTCCGAGCCTTTATTCAACATTCAGTAGCTATCTTAAAATTGACAAACTGATTTTCAGAATAGTGGCCAAATGAAGTTCAAAAAAATGACCAATTGAGGGTGGACCCACTGTAAGCGTGACCCCGTTTTAAAACAAATAAAATATTGTAAGCTCCGTTTTTACATAAGCGTGATCCCGTTGTAAGATGATTAAGCACCCGTTTTGGCTTACGCATGGTCTGAAATGTGACTTCATATGAAACAATAAACAAAACCAACTACAATTATTTGTTAAGAAATATAATGAGCAATAAATTAAAATAAAACCTACCAAAAGTGTATTGTTAATTAATCGAATTAATGGAATAACGAAAAAAAAAAAAGAAGAAAAAAAAATAAAGAGAACTATACTTTATAAAAAGGACCAAAAGGAAGAATTACAGAATGGAGTTTATGAAGTCAATCGTGAGAAAAGGGAGAGACATGTGGTGTGAAAAAAACATTACAAGTCACACCAGTCTAGAACTTAATTTTTTCAACGGGTTGCTAGTATATTTAAAACGGGCAATCAGTAATTTTAAAACGGGCAATCAGTGTTTTTAAAACGGGAAAACAGTCTTTTTCAAACGGCTCCAGTTTAGTATCTTAACGCAAATCACCATGGGTAAGTTTTGCTTCTTCAATTCGAAAGTTGTTTCGTTCTTAATTTTTATATTTTAGACCATAACAATTCACTACGTACATACGATCAAGCCTTTTTGTTTGCCATGGGCGAAACAGATCGTACAAGTAAATCAAAAAAACGGGCCTTGATGTTTGCAGATTTCTACGATGTTGTACCTGTTGCAGTGACCGATGAAGATGGTAATGAAGTAGACGTGATCTTATCCCCAAGCCACGTCGAAAAGTTCCAGACCATGCTTGCCAAACCAACCCCACTCACTGTAAGTCGTCCTGTCCAAGAAGCATCTCCCCAAGCCATGTTCCCAACTCGCGACACAGTCAACAGCATTGGTGAATTTGGAGCATATTCCGGCTACTTGACGAAACGCCACTACACTGAACTAAGTAAGGAAATGATCGAAATTCTTAACCAAGACTGGGAGATCAAGCCAAGCCAACGGTTCATCGTAGCAAGAGCACTCATTGGATCAGTTATCATTGATTCTGAAAATAATCGTGGTCTCCTTATCTTAGCTTTGGAAGTTTATGGTCGTGATCCTGATATTGACAGCCATGCAGAACAACGCAGCTCCACTGGTTCCACTAGGCAATCGACATCTGTACCGTCTGTAGGCCACAATGATTTCGAGATCATCACCATGCGCCAAACCGAAGGCAACAACATATCGATCAAGCTTATACTGGGTACCCACTCGTTCAACGCCCTTGTCACTGCCAGTACACGGATCGACAACTTGGTAGATCAACCTGAATGCGGTCCAAATACTGTCAATTTCGGTGTGCCTCCCAACTCCCACACAAAGTACAAGTTGCATGTTGACTCGGAATCATGGTCTGACTCTGTGGCGCTGGAAAAAAAGACTAATTTGCAGTCTATCTATACTCATTCCCGGCTTATGCAACTTCGCCAGCTCCGAACTCGCTTTGACAAACTTGACACGTACTCTGCTTCCCGATCCGCATTGTTCCATGGTTATCTGCAGCAACCAATGACTGTTTTTACATATGGCAAGAATACGACGTCCATCAATTCAGGCACATTATCATCAAGGTTCTTAGCTATGCTAGCTACGTCTGTAATGAGGGATGGTCAGAATGCTTATCTTGGAAAGACCAATGTCGAAAACTTGATTACGGAATTTAATAAGGAAACCAAGGCCAAACGTGTTATTCAACAAGTACTGCAACTATTTGGAGACAATGATACTATCCCTATCATTGGAAATACCGACTTGAATTATATTGCTGAGGAATTAGCCAACTTGTTGGCATCTTATTTATCAAACACAAACAAAAAAAGTGTTATTCCTTCCCTATCCGACCACTTAAAATCCTATTGATTTTAATAACATACTAATTTTAATAAATTTATACCTATTGTCTCGCTCTTCCTCTACATATCATGCAGTACCTTTTATTCTCATTGTTCATCATTAAAAACCATTAGTACAAAAATAAAATATGCCAGGCCTATATATTAACTACATGAAAAAATAAATATCTCGTCCTATTAATTTATCAGTAGCGCAAGTTCTTTTCATATTCCGTGAAAAAAAAAAAAGATGCCCACGCCCTCGCTATTTTGTTTGCTCTCTTCTTCTTTTAACCATCTTTTTTTAAGAAATTGACATGGGTAAGTTTTGCTTCTTTAATCCGAAAGTTGTTTCGTTCTTAATTATTATACTTTAGACCACAACCCTTCTCAACATATCTACGACCAAGACTTTTTATATGCCATGGGAAAAACGAACTGAAGTGGTCAATCAAAGAAACACGCATTGATGTTTGGCGTTTTTTTAGATGTTGTACCTGTTGCAGTGACCGATGAAGAAGGAAATGAGTTAGACTTCATTTTATCCCCGAGCCATGTAGAAAATTTCTAGGCCATGCTTTCGAAACCAACACCACTCACAGTAAGGCGTCGAGTTCAAGAGTCATCTCCCCAAACCATGTTTCGAACTTGTGATACTGTCAACAGCATCGGTGAATTTGAAGCCTATTCCCAATACTTAATCAAACGCCACTACACTGAATTGACCAAGGACATGATCGAACTGCTTAATCAAGACTGAGAGTTCAAGCCAAGCCAACGATTTATCGCAGCAAGAGCATTGATAGGATCGGTAATCATCGATTCTGAAAACCATTGTGGTCTCTTAATTTTAGCTTTGGAAGTATATGGTCGTGACCCTGACATTGACAGCCACGCAGAACAACGCAGCTCTACTGGTTCCGCTCTCCAATCGACACCTGTACCGTCTGTAGGCCATAATGATTTCGAGATATGTACCATGCGCCAAACCGAAGGCAGCAATATTTCAATTAAACTTATACTTGGTACCCACTCTTTCAACGCCCTGATTACTGCTAGTACACGCATTGACAAATTGGTTGATCATCCGGAATGCGGACCGTGAAAGCACTGTACCGTCTGCTGCGCAAAGTTTTTTTTTCTCATATTACGTAAAAAAACAAAGACGCCTGCTCCTCACCCACGCCCTATTTAATGCCTCGTTATTTTGTCTGCTCTCTTCTTCTTTTATCCATCTTTTTATAAGAAATTGACATGGGTAAGTTTTGCTTTTTTACTTTGAATGTTGTATCGTTCTTAATTATTAGATTTTAGACCACAACCCATCTCAACATACATACCATTAGGCCTTCTTGTATACAATAGGAGAAATCAACAAAAACGGTCAATCAAAGAAACGCGCACTGATGTTTGCTGATTTTTAAGATTTTGTACCTGTTGCAGTAACCGATGAAGATGGTAATGAGATAGACATCAATTTATCCTCAAGCCATATAGAACAGTTCCAGACCATGCTTTCAAAACCAACACCACCCACTCTAAGGCATCCAACTCAATATTTATCTCCCAAACCACGTTTCGGACTTGTGATACTGTCAACAGCATCGATGAAATCGGAGCTATTCACCATATTTAAGTAAACGCCAATACCAAGGATATGATCGAACTACTCAACCAAAACTGGGAAATCAAGCCAAGCCAACATTTTACTGCGACAAAAGTGCTAATCGGGTCTGTAATCATCGATACTGAAAATAATTACGGTCTCCTTATTTTGATATTCGGAGTATATGGTCGTGACCCTGACATCGATAGCCACGCTGAACAACGTAGCTCTACTGGTTCAACAAGGCAAACGACATCTGTACCGTCTGTAGGCCAGAATGATTTTGAGATTTTTACCATGCGCCAAACCGAAGGCAGCAACATTTCAATTGAACTTATACTTGGTACCCACTCTTTCAACGCCCTTGTGATTGCTAGTACACGTATTGACAACTTGGTTGATCATCCGGAATGCGGACCGTGAAAGCACTGTACCGTCTGCTGCGCAAAGTTTTTTTTTCTCATATTACGTAAAAAAACAAAGACGCCTGTCCTCTCGCCCCCTCCCTATTTAATGCCTCGCTATTTTGTCTGCTCTCTTCTTCTCTTATCCATCTTTTTTTAAGAAATTGACATGGGTAAGTTTTGTTTTTTTACTTTGAATGTTGTATCGTTCTTAATCACTAGATTTTAGACCACAAGCCATCTCAACATACATACAATTAGGCCTTCTGGTAAGCAATAGGAGAAACCAACACCACTCACTGTAAGTCGTGCTGTTCAAGAGGCATCTCCTCAAACAATGTTTCCAACTCGCGATACAGTCAACAGCATTGGTGAATTTGGAGCATATTCCCGATACTTAACCAAACGCCACTGCACTGAATTGACTAAGGAAATGATCGAACTACTCAACCATGACATCAAGCCAAGCCAACGTTTCATCACAGCAAGAGCACTAATCGGATCAGTAATAATTGAGAAGTATATGGCCATGACCCTGACATTGAAAGCCACGCAGAAAAACGCAGCTCCACTGGTTCCACTTTCCAATCGACATCCGTACCGTCTGTAGGCCAGAATGATTTTGAAATTTTCACCATGCGCCAAACCGAAGGCAGCAATATTTCCATCAAGCTTATACTGGGTACCCACTCGTTCAACGCCCTTGTCACTGCTAGTACACGGATCGACAACTTGGTAGATCAGCCTGAATGCGGGCCCAATACTGTCAATTTCGGTGTGTCGCCTCAATCCCATTTGAAGTACAAGTTATATCGACTCCGAATCATGGTTCGACTCTCTGGCACTTGAAAAAAAGACTAATTTGCAGTCTATTTACACGCATTCCCGGCTCATGTAACTTCGCCAGCTAAGAACTCGCTTCCATAAACTTGACACGTATTCTGCTTCGCGATCCGCATTATTTCATGGTTACTTACAGTAACCCATGACTGTATTTATATATGGCAAGAGCACGACATCTATCCATTCCGGGGTACTATCATCAAGGTTGTTAGCTATGTTAGCTACGTCAGTTATGAAGGATGGTGAAAATACTCGTCTAGGAAAAACCAACGTCGAAAACTTGCTATCAGAATTTAACATGGAAATGAATGCTAATCGTGTTATTATATGGGTACTTGAACTTTTTAGAGACAGTGGATGACTCCCAGAATCGCTTGGGGAGTTTTTGCAAGTATTTCTATTTTAAGTAAAGGCCCAGACATTATGAAAGATGAAACAAGCAATTAAATCACTCTGACATAAGCTCTTGTTTATCAGCCTACAAACAAAGCTGGTTCCCACACTTTATTCTTTTCTTTTTTTCCACTTAACACATGTATTCTATCGTTTATGAAAGTTATTGATAACGTACAAAGGTTAGTAAGTAATCGCTCTTGTTTCTTTCAAAAGACGCTAAATCAAAAAAGAAATATTGAAAAATTGCAGCTGCGGCTAGTCTTTGCCATAGGTGGGCGAACTCCTTAGTAGGGCGCTTGAGTTTTTCTGGAACTCACGGGATGTGAATTACGGTGTTTTTACTGTGAATTACAGTGTTTTCACATCGAATAGTATTGGTCTTATTGGCCTGCTTTTCTGGACCAGAATCGATGTAAGTGGTGTATATATATATATAAACATACAGAGACCTAGACATTTCCCTCTAAAACTTAGTTTTCTTAACAGGATTCTGGTATTTTTTAAGACGGCAGGCTAGTTTTATTAGACCGACACTAGTCCAACGTCTTGACGTGATTTTTATAAGTTGACATGGGTAATTTTTGCTTTTTTTTACTTCGATTGTCGTTTCGTTCTTAATTATTATATTTTAGACAATAACAAAACTCAACGTGGCTACCTCTTATTTTGGCATTGGAAGTTTATGATCATGTTCATGATATCGATAGCCACGCAAAACAACGTAGCTCCACTGGTTCCACTCCCCAATCCACATCTGTCCCGTCTTTAGGTCATAATGATTCTGTAATATGTTCCATGCGCCAAATCGAAGGAAGTAATGTTTCCATCAAGCTTACACTTGGTACCCACTCTTTCAACGCCCTTGGGGCTGCTAGTACACGTATTGACAACTTGGTTGATCATCCGGAATGCGGACCGTGAAAGCACTGTACCGTCTGCTGCGCAAAATTTTTTTCTCATATTACGTTAAAAAAACAAAGACGCCTATCCTCTCGCCCCGCCCTATTTAATGCCTCGCTATTTTGTCTGCTCTCTTCTGCTTTTATCCATCTTTTTTTAACAAATTGACATGGGTAAGTTTTGCTTTTTTAATCCGAAAGTTGTATCGTTCTTAATTATCATATTTTAGACCATAACAAATCCCAACGTACATACGACCAAGCCTTTTTGTTTGCCATCGGAGAAACAAACCGAACAAGTAATTCCAAAAAACGGGCACTAATGTTTGCTGATTTTTACGATGTTGTACCTGTCGCAGTCAACGATGAAGATGGTAATGAGTTAGACGTCAATTTATCCTCAAGCCATATAGAACAGTTCCAGACCATGCTTTCAAAACCAACACCACTCACTGTAAGGCGTCCAATTCAAGATGTATCTCCCAAAACCATTTTTCGAACTTGTAATACTGTCAACAGCATCGGTAAATTCGGAGCCTATTCCCAATACTTAAGCAAACGCCACTACACTGAATTGGCCAAGGACATGATCGAACTACTCAACCAAGACATCAAGCCAAGCCAACGGTTTATTACAGCAAGAGCACTCATCGGATCAGTTATAATTGATTCTGAAAACAATCGTGGTCTCCTTATTTTAGCTTTGGAAGTATATGGTCGTGACCCTGACATTGACAGCCACTCTGAACAACGTAGCTCTACTGGTTTAACAAGGCTAACGACATCTGTACCGTCTGTAGGCCAAAATGATTTTGAGATTTTTACCATGCGCCAAACCGAAGGCAGCAATATATCTATCAAGCTTATACTGGGTACCCACTCGTTTAACGCCCTTGGGACTGCTAGTACACGTATTGACAACTTGGTTGATCATCCGGAATGCGGACCGTGAAAGCACTGTACCGTCTGCTGCGCAAATTTTTTTTCTCATATTACGTAAAAAAACAAAGACGCCTGTCCTCTCGCCCCGCCCTATTTAATGCCTCGCTATTTTGTCTGCTCTCTTCTGCTTTTATCCATCTTTTTTTAAGAAATTGACATGGGTAAGTTTTGCTTTTTTAATCCGAAAGTTGTATCGTTCTTAATTATCATATTTTAGACCATAACAAATCCCAACGCACATACGATCAAGCCTTTTTGTTTGCCATGGGCGAAACAAATCGTACAAGTAAATCAAAAAAACGGGCATTAATGTTTGCATATTTTTACGATGTTGTTCCTGTTGCAGTAAATGATGAAGATGGTAATGAGGTAGACGTGATTTTATCCCCAAGCCACGTCGAAAAGTTCCAGAACATGCTTGCTAAACCAACCTCACTCACTGTAAGTCGTCCTGTCCAAGAAGCATCTCCTCAAACCATGTTTCCAACTCTCGATACAGTCAACAGCAATTGGTGAATTTGGAGCATATTCCGGTTACTTAACGAAACGCCATTACACTGAATTAAATAAGGAAATGATCGAAATGCTTAACCAAGACTGGGAGATCAAGCCAAGCCAACGGTTTATTTCAGCAAGAGCACTCATCGGATCCGTAATAATTGATTCTGAAAACAATTGTGGTCTTTTAATCTTGGCTTTAGAAGTATATGGTCGTGACCCGGACATTGAAAGCCACGCAGAAAAACGCAGCTCCACTGGTTCCACTAGGCAATCGACATCCGTACCGTCTGTAGGCCAGAATGACTTCGAAATTTTCACCATGCGCCAAACCGAAGGCAGCAATATTTCCATCAAGCTTATACTGGGTACCCACTCGTTTAACGCCCTTGGGACTGCTAATACACGTATTGACAACTTGGTTGATCATCCGGAATGCGGACCGTGAAAGCACTGTACCGTCTGCTGCGCAAAGTTTTTTTTTCTCATATTACGTAAAAAACAAAGACGCCTGCTCCTCACCCACGCCCTATTTAATGCCTCGCTATTTTGTCTGCTCTCTTCTGCTTTTATCCATCTTTTTTTAAGAAATTGACATGGGTAAGTTTTGCTTTTTTAATCCGAAAGTTGTATCGTTCTTAATTATTATATTTTAGACCATAACAAATCACTACGCACATACGATCAAGCCTTTTTGTTTGCCATGGGCGAAACAAATCGTACAAGTAAATCAAAAAAACGGGCCTTAATGTTTGCAGATTTTTACGATGTTGTACCTGTTGCAGTGACCGATGAAGATGGTAATGAAGTAGACGTGATCTTATCCCCAAGGCATGTCGAAAAGTTCCAGACCATGCTTGCCAAACCAACCCCACTCACTGTAAGTCGTCCTGTCCAAGAAGCATCTCCTCAAACCATGTTTCCAACTCTCGATACAGTCAACAGCAATTGGTGAATTTGGAGCATATTCCGGTTACTTAACGAAACGCCATTACACTGAATTAAATAAGGAAATGATCGAAATGCTTAACCAAGACTGGGAGATCAAGCCAAGCCAACGGTTTATTTCAGCAAGAGCACTCATCGGATCCGTAATAATTGATTCTGAAAACAATTGTGGTCTTTTAATCTTGGCTTTAGAAGTATATGGTCGTGACCCGGACATTGAAAGCCACGCAGAAAAACGCAGCTCCACTGGTTCAACTTTCCAATCGACATCCGTACCGTCTGTAGGCCAGAATGACTTCGAAATTTTCACCATGCGCCAAACCGAAGGCAGCAATATTTCCATCAAGCTTATACTGGGTACCCACTCGTTCAACGCCCTTGTCACTGCTAGTACACGGATCGACAACTTGGTGGATCAACCTGAATGCGGGCCAAACACTGTCAATTTCGGTGTGTCTCCTAACTCCCACTTAAAGTACAAGTTGTATCTTGACTCGGAATCATGGTCTGACTCTCTAGCGCTTGATGAAAAGACTAACTTGCAGTCCATTTATATCTATACTCATTCCCAAATCATGCAATTTCGCCAGCATAAACTCGGTTCCACAAAGTAGATACTTACTCTTCATCACGTTCCTCATTAATCCATAGCTACTTACAACAACCTATGACAGTATTTACGTATGGTAAAAGCACTACATCTATCAATTTCTAGGCTTTATCTTCAAGGTTATTAGCTACGTCAGTTACGAGCGATGGTCAAAATGCTCATCTTGGAAAAGCCAATGTCGAAAACTTACTTTCAGAACTTAACAAGGAAACGAAGGCTAAGCGTGTCATTCAACGGGTACTGCAACTTTTTGGAGACAGTGATACTATTCCTATCATTAGTAATACTGGCCTGGATTATATTGCTGAGGAAATTGTCTAACTTGTTGGCATCCTACTTATCAAACACCAACAAAAAAAGTGTTATTCTTTCTCTGGCCGATCATTTAAAATCATATTGATTTTAGTAACTCATTCATCTTATTAAATGTATACCTATTGTACTCCCTCTTCCCCCTCATCATGCAATACCTTTTATTATCGTTGTTTATCATTAAAAACTATTGGTTGAAAAAATAAAATATGTCAGGTCTATTTATCAACTTCATGTAAAAATGAACTTCTCGTCCAATTAATTTTTAAAGCATTTTTAATGAAATCGATCATCCTATAAAGTTAACATGATATGGCAAATGCTAATCGATGTATACATTATTCTTAGACTTATGGGCAAAACCATCACGCGATTCCAAAAAAAAAAAAGGGTTCCGTTTTATAATAGTGGAATTAGTAGGTTTGTAGTGTGAATTAATAATGAAGTTTTCGGGAGATGATGGATATGTAAGGTATGAATTTGTTAGAACGAGGTACAAGTTATGAGTTTTACTGATATGAAGGTATAGTAAGCTGATAATTGACAATTGTATTTTTTATTTGTTTTTAAAATAAAAAATATTCATCTCTTTACACATGCAAATATTTACTTTAAGACTTCGCATCATTTGATATATATTGAAGCAAGATGACAGACGGTGAACTTTTTATGCTTGTGCTCTTTGTTCCATTCTTGGACGTTAAAATATTAAAACTGTTCCCATGTTGATCCTCAGCTACATTAACATTTCCCGTAAACCCAGATCATATTTCAGTTACAATTTTAAATTATATATAAACACACACACACATCGCAATATAGAAAAGCCCATAAACACATTGTTGATTTTTTTCACACCTTGAAGAATTTAATGATAATCAAATACCTAATAATTATGCCATGATGATCATATTTTCGTGTGGGTTACTTCATATTTGGGGAGGGGGGTAGCCTAAATAATTTAGAATGTCAATAAAAAAAAGGCGATTGCTATAGAGACAGTCTTAAAAAAAAAAGGGAGGGGACTAAGCATAATAGAAATAATCGTGTTCAAGCGCTTTTAAAGCTGTCAAGCGTTTTTCGGGGTCAAGCACCAGCAACTTGTCGATGAGGTCAGCAGCGAAAGGATCAAAGCTAATGAAATCATCGAGAACATGTCGTGTACTTGTTTCAAACTTGACCTTGTCAGCATCTGGTAACCGATCCCAATTAGGCATGGTGTTCTGATTGGGTGAGCCGCATAAGCTAAATATCTTTTTCAATTGATCAAGGTCGTCTTGACCTTGTAAGATTGCCTTTGATTTGATAAGCTCGCCAAATACACATCCAACACCCCACATGTCAATTGCACTGGTATATCGTCTTTCGCCAAGAAGTAACTCGGGTGGTCTATACCAAATAGTAACAACTGATTTAGTATATTCCATATCATCGTCTTCTATACCCCGTGCAAGACCGAAATCTGCAATCTTTAAAACACCATCATTGTTGATTAAAAGGTTGGCAGCTTAAAAAAAAAAAAAAAGGTGGTCAAAATCAGCAAAACTTTGTCCCCTCAAGTGCTATGTCTTTTGTTTATAGGCTTTACCTTTCATGTCTCGATGAAGAATGTTGTTCTTTCATACAAAAAAAAAAGACAGTGTCAGTAAAATGATGTTTCACGGGGTTTCTATATACTGTACATGATGCAAATATGCTGTTCCTTCCAATAGTTGCTTCATATATGTCTTGATTTGTGGTGGGGTCAATTGAACGTTTGAGTTGTGCAATAAATTTGACAAATCATGATCCATATAAGGGAACACCATATATATAACTCTCTTCTCTACACACACACAAAAAAAAGAGAGAGACGAGTTTTTTAAGATGGGCTATTCAAGACATGAAAGTAAAAAAGTTAAAAAGTACCTCTTTCGACTATAACGTCACGTAATGGAACAATATTTCTATGGTTCAGTTGTTTCAATATCTTAATTTCACGTATAACCGTGATGGGTACCTAATCAAAGTGAGACCAACTCTAATATAGCTTCCAAAAGTTCCTCATACTTACCCCTTCCTTTTCATTGTCCGTTAAAATTCTCTTCAGGGCTACCAAGTCATTGTGTAGTTTATCTCTGGCTTTATAAACTTGTCTGTAATGTAAAGGGGGTTCAGTCTTCATCGAATGGATAAAGAATACAAATAAACTTACCCAAAAGTACCTTGACCAATCTTACCCAGAAATTCGTAGTCTGATATTCTTGAAGAGTCCTTGAACGGTCGTTGAATTGTAGTTTGGGATGGTCTGTACGCTGGAGAAGACATGCTGGAAGGTGAGCCTCCGTATTCTTCATTGACACCTAGTTGTCCTTCATCCGTTTCGGTGTCGCTGTCCATTCGATTCATTTCCCACATTGGTCGAAAGGGAGTTTTTTTTTTTTTTTTTTTTTAGAATGTGGAAACTTTTAAAAAAGAAAAGAAAACCAAGGTTCAAAATGAAACTTTAAATAGGACAAAACAAAGGCAGTCCCCCATTCTTCAATTAGAAAAATAGTGAGTTGTTCGCCTCTGTTTCAACCCGTATACGTCTGCTTGTTTTCATATTGTTGAAAATGAATTGAATTAGGTACAATACAAAACAATAAGCATCTGCTTTTTTTTTTTTTTTTAATAAAATATAGTTTATCGCCTTTTACTAAATCCAACATCCATAAACCTATGGTAAGTACGTCTGCAATTTTTTTTTCTTTTGTATATAAATTAATTTCAACGTCTCTGCTAAAGTAAAGAATAGACGAAAGAGCAATGATTGAAGAGTCAAAAATCGTTTCATGTGTATGATTGGGTATTTTTGGTTAAAGTTATAAAAGACCATTTTAGTGCTTACAATAAAAAGAAACGTGTCCCAAAAAGTACACATGTATCCCATCTACTTTTTGACATATGCGATTGATTTTTGTGTAAAAGCGCAGTAAAATAAAAATGATGAGGGTGCATAAAAAAAAAAAAAAAAAAATCTGATAAATGTTTTTCCGAAAGAAAAAAAAAAAGAGAGAGTCTGGAGCCCCGGAGTTTTTCGCTTATATTTTTCCCTCTCTTTTTTTATATCTATTATGCACAGTTTTATAAGAAAGAGAGAATACGGACAAATAAATCCTCTGAAATTAGTGAGGGCTGAAACAACTAAACGAGCTTACACCTTGCAGTTAAGCAGGACAAAAGAAATAGCTCGGTCTCATCGTGGTAAATAATAATAAAAGTCAATCTTTAGTAGCATTAGTTTAAAAAGATTATAGGTGGTGTTAATTCTTTAAAAATTGAAAACATTGAGCAAAGATAGTAAGCAGATTAAAAAAAAAGTGGTGGTGGCGGGTTGGGGGGGGGAGAGAAGAGGAGGACCAAGCTGAAAATATAATTGTTAGTTTATTAAGTGGTGATGGTAATGGGAACGTGCAAGTATTTGATCTTGATTCGGAGCAAGTAAGAAAAAGCCCAATTGCAATTGCGTCAAAGTAATAAACGAAAAAAAGACCAATGAAATCGATCAAAGATAATTAAAAAAAAAGAGTTCATAGAACCGATCGACATAAATATGCCGTCACCTCTGTATGCTGGTACCCCTTTGATACCGGCATGTTTGTGACATCGAGTTATGACACAACAATTAAAGTATGGGACAGAAGTACAATGATGGTAATTTTGATTTTTAAAAGATTATGCTCATTAAAACTGACACTACATTTATAATAAGCCTGCTGAAGAGTTCAATTTAGAGCATAGAGTAAATGCTCAGTCTATGTCTTCAATTGCCTCGCATTGTCTGGTTGCCAGTAAGTTTGGAGCAGAGTAAAATAGGATAATTAATTAAAAAAAAAAAAAGGTGCGGCTTCAGAACCCAGGATAAGATTGTGTGACTTGAACAGTGGTGCCTTTACTCATTCATTGATGGGTCACTCAGGCTCAGTTTTATCGTGTACATGGTCTTTTAATCAAGAATATATCTTGTACTCTGGAGGGTAATAGATTGACTTTGTTTTAATTATTATTGATCCGATTTAATTGAATAATTTGGTAGTGATGATGGCACAGTTCGAATTTGGGATATTCGGAGAGCATCGTCTTGTCTGATGTCCCTTGACCAGGATAATGCCAGTAAGGTTTTTTATTATTTTTGCTCCTGTATTTCTTTTTATTAATTCCTAAAAAAAAACGCCCTTAAAAATGTATAGTTGATATAGATCCTCTAGCCGATACAAATAAAGCACATGGAAAAGGCGTGAATGGTCTGTCGGTGACAAAAGATGGTCGATATTTGGTGTCACTCGGACTTGATGAAAAGATCCGGTTATGGGATACACAGACGGGACGTAATACATTTATCAATTATGGATCCAATTGGAGAAACAAATTCAAACTGTCAATAGAACCCACTCTATCCGGTCCAGACGTTTGGCCGCCACTATTATACATTCCAAGCGATGATCGGGAAATCTTGGTTTACGGCTTATTTGATGGCGTTTTGATCCGCAGACTTAAGGGTCATTACGGCAGAGTTAACTGCATCGAGAAAAGAGAATCATATGAAGAATACTACAGTGGTTCCAGTGAAAGTGATATACTGATATGGGAACCCCCGATGCAAGATGATAAAGTGTTGGCTAATACTACCGATGAGGTATTACATATTTTTTTATGTATAGAATACATGCATTAAAACCAATAATATATATTAGGCAGAATTGGATGCATGGAGTGCCAGTGAAGACGATGAAGGGACAATTTAAATTTTTTCGCTGTAACTTTCTTTTTTGTAAAAATAAAAATAATAATAATAATAAATAAAAATAGCTTGTTTTCAAACTGATCCCATAAGGAAATACAAGGGGTAACGTTAGGTCTTTATAGTCTTTGCGGCCCACAATCGCGCCGACATACACTCTTTGTGTAATTGTGTAACCATGGTTTAAACTTTAGGATCCGGGGCCGATTTATGAAACGAATCAATGCAGTTGTATATAAATACTTGTATGCCAAAAAAAAAAAACTATTTTGCCTCTTTTTCTTCCCCCTCTTTCTCACAAACTTTTTTTTTTTTATATATATATACAAATAAAAAAATATACATAATATGGGTTGTTGTATTTCACATTCTTACTTTGAAAAGGTAAAAAAAAAAAAGAACAATTGTGGTCTCAATTCAAACACTGTATTAAATTTAATTTTAGGGTACTGTACATGAAGTTACTTTAGATGCTGATGGTGTTGCCCAACGTGTGCCCAAGGGACAAGGAACTCATTTTATCCATATCTCACCAAATAATGAAACTCATTTAGAGGAAAAGGTAACGTCCTAAATATAATTCATGATTCAATCTTGTTTTTTTTTTTAATGTGTATATATTTGTAAAAAAAAAAAAAAAACTTTCTGCAGTCTGACCAACCTTCGCTTCCTGCGCCTACACATAACAATGACACTAATAAATGGCCTTCGCTCACAACACCACCAAGCTATAATAGTAAAGTAGCTCCATCATCTGAAATCAAGGAAGAAAAACCTACAGCATAAATGACGTGCTTGTCAAAAAAAAAAAAAAAAAAATAAGAATCTCATTCTATATTTTTGTATCAAAGTAAAACACACAAAAAAAAAAAAAAAAAAAAAAAAATGAACAAAACAGAAACTTCAAAAAAAAAAATCATATCTTTGAATGTGTAGTTGTATATATATATATTATCCCCCCACCCGCCATTTCATTTTATCTTGTTTCTTTCTTCATTCATTTTATATTCTTATCACACTATTAAATACATTTTACACTTTATTAAATACTACTCTTCTAATATTTTTTTTTTTTTTTTGTGGATGTGTCATTTGGATTAGCAAATATCTTTTTGTTTGTTGTAAGTTTTATAAATAAATCTTGGTGCAAAAAAAAGAAAAAAAAATAATTAGTCATGTTATATAATTGTTTCAAAAGGGATGATAATGTTACTACCTAGAATATCATCAAATTCCCTCCCTTCCTCAAAAGACTTCAAGAAACCAAAACCGGGCTTAGCAACAAAAAAAAAAAAAACTTTTTTTTTCTAAACTAATGCAATTGTCTATTTTTGTAATCAAAAAACTATTATTTTTTTTCTTTCCGCTAGACAACAAAGATCGTCTATTTTGAATTAACAAAATGATACACATTTAAACAACGTATTTATTTCTCGATCTGAAGCATTCCTCACCCATCCACCGCCACCCATTCTTCTATCATTTTTTTTTATGGTTACGCAAGGAAAAAACATGATGTCATGTGGCCAATTTTATAATGACGCATATACAACCGCTAACAAAAAAGAAAAGGAGCTGGTTCATTGTCATGATTCTTGAATTTACGAATAACAATGATGCTTTTTTAAGAGCAACCCTGCCTGGCTTTTTATTTTGTGAAACGGTGATTTTTTTGTTTTTTTAGGGCGTCTTTAAAGTTCATCAGATGATGAATAGCTTCACTCTATAACTGGGCTAAATCATGTCATCAGACTTTTATCATTTTTTTGACACATTCTATTACCATCGCTTATGCACAATGAGAGAATATTACTTTTTATTTTAGAGAGAAGGGTATGTTAGTAACGGAGAAAAGAAAGAAAAAAAACAATGGGAAAAGATAACTGCTGTTCATGTAAACTCAAATGAATATGATTGGTCTACTTCTACTTGTGTGTGTGTGCGGTGTTTACTGTATAGAGTCAGATGTGAAAAAAGCCGTTCCGTGACACATGTTAGGAAGGCGATGTGATTTGTTATCAAAGACCAACAAACATAAATAAGACAAAAAGGATAAATGTTAATCTATATTAAGACCCTTATCCTAATATAGACTTTGATCATTGCACAGTTTGAAGAAAAAGAGAGACTCCTCCTGACTTTCTTTTTTTCTAAACCAGCCGTCTCCTCCCCCCCTTTTTTTTTTTTAGACTGTAGAGAAGCTTACAAGGAAGAAAAGAACATTGGCAATTTTTTGCCCTATTCAAACACGCGGCTCTCAAAATGCTTGTTGACAACGTTATTCTTGGCAACCGATATTCTGTTGCAATGACACTTTTGTTAAAAGCTTTTTAAAAACAAAGAAAATATATGCAACATCCTCCGACGCGATACGTCAAAAATATATAAAATGAAGGTCCGAGTGGAGTTTACTATACAGTTGAAAAAATCGCAGTAAACATCATGTCTGCAAGCTTATAAACGAGCTTTTGGCTATTTCTCGATTCTCAAGATTAAGAAAAGGGCCTCATATTCTCACTGTCACATATAATGTAAATATATATATATAGAGAGAGTCTCGATTCTTCACTTGTTTTATCTTGTATAGTTAACATGTTAGGCTCTTATTAAAAATGAACAGCGATTTTTATAGCAGTATATTAGTTATAAAATGGAACTTTACTATTTGAGTAAACATACAAAGATGTAGGTTTTAGGATTTCATTATTTTTACCGCTTGAGATGATTACAAAAGCCATACTATCGATTTGAAGAATATGTATCATTATGATTTGATTCGACAGTGCTATGTTCAGTTTAGACTTGGGGTTTTTTTTTTAAGTATAGCGAATACTAAACCTGTGCGTTGTGGTCTGGCCAAACCATTAAAGGTCAGTAATAAACACAGACAGATAAAGACAGTAACCGATATCTTGCTAGATATAATGATATATTTTATTGAAAAGTACCACAATGTAAGACTCTACTTGATAACTATAATTAAAATATTAATCAGTCAAAAAGCTTTACATAATTTGTAAATAATAAACTTATTTTCTTCGATGCTTGTTTGGGTTTGGGAATTTTAATAAGCAGTATGGATACAAACTACGTGCACAAGATCGATGACCGTCCACCCTTCGGTCCATTTTGAATTTATCATAGTTACTTTGGACAAACGTCCTTGTCCTTACCCTCATTACTACATGATAGTAGCCACTCTTGAAAGCAGCACAAAAAGGGAAGTTAAAAGACAGGGCCTAAAATGCATAAAAGCCTGTAGCTGTTGGAGCTACAGGTCCTAGTTCCCGCATTTCGTCCTCACAATTTATCCATATAGCATCACGGCTGTATCATTAAACATATATTAGATCATGTTATCGTTTAAATTAGTATAAATTACCTTTACAACTTAAAGTAACGTTGATGAAGAACCAGCAAGTGAATACACATCATTTTATGAGAGAGACAAAAATGAGAATGTCTTTTTTCTTTTCTACTTTTACGTACTTTTTAATCACGTGTTTTTCTAAAAACATTTACTTTGATTGACATCTACATCATGCTTCACAATTGATACATGATGTTACTGAAATATTTGATAGACAATGAACAAGTTTTGAATTGCTTTTTATTTAAGCTATGAGTGGGATATGCAACCTCTCGTCTATGACATGTAAAGGATGAAACATATGGATGAAATCAAACAGACAATTAAATCATCCTGACATAAGCCAGTTCTTGTTTATCAGTTTTATAAATAAAAACTCGTTCACATGGGTTTTCTAGTTAAATAAACAATTGAATCGTCCTGACGTATACGAACGCCTTTTTTTTATCCGTCTACAAATAAAACCCTTCTCTTCATTTTTTTTTTTTTTTAAAAAAAAAATGTATTTATCCTGTACTACACTATCTTTTCTAAAGAGAAGGTATAAATATTGTGAAAAGGTTAGTTTATTACAGCTTTTGTTTATTTATGAAAACGTTAAAATATTACGTAGTAGAAAGAGAGAGAGAGAAAAAGAGAAGAGTTGGGGATGAAGTAGCACTACTTTACCCAGTCAGTGGGCGAGATTGTCTTGGCTGCATCAAATACAACGCCTTACTCTTTCAATTGGAGATAAAAGGTTTAATGAGCATTTACGAAACATACAGTTAATTCTTTCTGTCAGATTATATTAAGGAGAACCAATGGGAAAAAAAATTCCAACGGTAAACTCTCAAAAAAGAAATCGCTGAACTCTGCCCGCTGTCCAGGAGCTTGGAAGAAGTCCTTCTCTAGATTGTTTCATCTTTGCAAAAAAAAAAAAAAAAAAAAAAAAAAAAAAAAAAAAAAAGACAAAAATAAGGCAAAGACCAACCTTACATATTCAATCATACTTGAAAGAATCATAAATCACGGTAATCAAAAAGCAGCGAATAAGATTGCGACAAGGACAAAGAGCTTTTTTTGATGTTAGTTGTTGCAAGTCATTTTAAAAATTTGACATGTAATTCACACCGGTATTTATAGGAACGAGAAAAAGAAAAAAGAATTCTGGCTTTGCTTCAGAATACAAAAAGATACTAAACTCAAAACACTGCTAAAAAAAAAAAAATCTAAATCAAGAATGAAGAATACTATATGACTGTAAATGTGTTAAATGGAGCAAGCCCTCAACAAAGACACTTTACGATAAAATTTAAGAACGATTGTGCCCCTCAAGGCTTATCCTCCTTATCAAGGAAATGTCAAAATCTAAATAAAGAGGATAGCTGACTGTGCACCCACTCTTTCCCAAATTGGTTATGGATTATATAGAGTTTAAGAACAATAATGTCTTTTTGACCCTTACCTTCACAATAATTAAATGCATTCGTTCATGACACCGTATTTCATTTGTAAGTTTTATTATATAGTTGCTCACCTTTAATACTTGATACTAATCCGTTTTGATTATCCATTCTTCTAGCAGCTTAAAATCATGTGAAAGTTCATTGAACCCTATTTTTCAAACCTTGAAAGAACCTCAGCGTTGCTACTTGGACTTTTTCAATAACTAATTCGGGGGGGGGGGTTTACAAGACATAGTCGAATTTAAATGGTCATTATCAGCTCTTTTTTTTTCCTGTTATCTGACTCATATTAATACATGGGACTGAAGTTCTTCATTCGGATTTAGACAACACCAAGAGTGATGGATTAGTAATTGTTTAAGAATAAACATGTCAATGGTTCCTATTATAGAATTTGCATGAGGCTCTAACACCCACACGGAAAAAGTAATTGTATTAAATTTTACAAAAATGCAATTAAAAAGTTTTTTTTTAGTTAAAAAAGATATTTTGTTTTCGGGTTCTTGTATTTCAGTAAGTAAAAAATACCAGGCTAATAAAACCCAACTAAAAAACCGCAAATACAGTAGTCGTTCGATGTAAGGGTGACCCTTAAATAGAAAACACCCCTTAAATCGAACACTCTTAAATCGAGCGGCTACTGTAGATTAAGATAACAATACTTTCTTTGAATACTCGACAATCCAACAATCGATTCTATGTAAAAAAAAAGACACATGGAATTACCTATGCCACAAAATTCCAGAGGTCTCAAATCTTTTTGCTGACCTTCTGCCAGATATGCTTTCTTGGCGCCCAATTTGTTATTGATTCAGCCGAGTTATAATCATTTTAAATAAAAAGCTGTAATGTCCTTGTGTGTGTGTCTTTTTTTTTAATTTGACAACCCTATTTACCCAAATTGATAAGTGGTATTTGTTTTTTTTGGCTCAACGACATTTATTTTTCACAAAGTCTGACTAATCCCATAAGAGCAGTCCATGTACATTTTTATGTATATGTAAATTACATGAACAAAAAAAAAAAATTAAAAAGACTTCTGATAAAGATTAACTCCATGATGATGGGACCCCCTTACAAATTCAAGTTTACACTGAGTACATATACAATATGTGAGAGAATCGCCCGTTACAGTATTTAGCTTGAAATCCTAGACTTGATGACATATATACTTTGTTTTTGTGTAAGATCTAAATAGGGCATTCTCGCTCATCTAATCTATCCCAAGCACTCTCAATATATCATTTTTTTTTCAAAAAAAGAATGACTTGAGAATATTTAAAAATCATTGACAGGCTAATTGTAAGAAGATGTGAGATGGGGCATGAACTCAGCTTTGTGAGTACCTATATAGGACCTAATATAACACTTATTATACAATGTAATAATGTAAATGAGAATACGAAAAAGAGGTCAAGTGTGAAAAGAGAGATTCCGACTGGTCTAGTGCTAATAAGAGCTACGTTCCTATATTGCAGTACATCGTTTATGACACTGCAGTTGTCCTTAAGGTTTTTGGGGAAAAGGTATCTTGCATTTTGTATTAGTAATAACGTCATGAAAAGGCAATTTTAGATTCGAAAGTAAGGATGTGCGTTTCTTTAAAAAAAAAACAAGATCATGCAGAAGAATGAATGAATGAAAAAAAAAATGTGCAATGATTTTTGTATAAAAAAGGGGTGAAGGCTGTCAATGAAATGCATGAGAAACCAAGGCAAAAGATTTCATTGGTCGGAAAGAAAAACGCATATATATTGGTCATGAGGGCAAATGTTGCACAAATGTCCTGGTAACCCGAGAAAATCATGAATTTTTGACAGGTAGAAGGCGGTTTAATGTCTAATAGTATTTTTTATTTATTTTAAGTAAGGGTTTTTTTTAGAAAGAAAAAGAGAATAGGGAGTTGTGTAGAAGGGGGGGATCATACAGTGTTTTGGCTTGGGGAGAGGTAAGAGAAAAGAATAGTTATAAAAAAACAAGAAGATTCAGAAAAAAAAAAAAAAGATATATATATAAAAAGGAAAAGGTTTTTTTTTTTAGTTTGTCAATGCAACGTTTCCTTCCTTTTCTTCTTCCCATTCGAAAGCATCTTCCATATCTTCAATATCAGATTCATCTTCGAGATCAGAAACAAACTCGACATCCTAAACAAAGACAATATTTAGTTTACAACATATAGAAAGAAAGAGAGAAAGTTTGATGTTTTACCTCATCCTCTTCTTCAGATTCATCTTCAGGTGCGTTTTCATCATCTTCATCAGATTCATCTTCTTCAGCATCTTCGAGTTCTTCGTCCAAAATCTTTTGCCAAATTTCTTCATTGACATTTAATGGTGCATCACCATAGGCCTTACTCTTCAATCTGTCAATCAATTCCTTTTCAATCGATTTCTCTATTCGTGCAGCTGCCTCTGCCTTACGTTCACGATTTGTTTCACGTCTTTCCAACTTCTTTTTGATACCAATTAATTGTGGTCTATCACTATTTATTAAAAGGAATTGCGTCAATCATCTATTTCTTCTTTCTTATTCCCCAATTAAAAACTTACTTTTCCTTGAGCTTCAATTTACGCATACGGATAAGGTATTGAGTAATTTTGGTAAGACGTTGTTTACACTTGTGAGACAAAAAGTTGGGCCAGTATTGCAACTCCTTGTCAATCTACAAAGAAACAACACACACACACACATGGGTCAATATACGCATTTCTCCCAACGTCCCCCATATCCTCTTCTTACCTGTGCCAAAGCTTGTGCATAATTTTTGGAAAGCTTCTTTCTTTCCCACATCTTTGCAGGTGAATGCGCACGTTCAGGTGTCTTCATGTACAAGTAAACGATACCTAGGTAGAAATAAGGGTGTCAATCAAAAGGAACGATGCAGTGTTTGAATAATAAAGGCGGGTACCTTTTTCTTCTCTAATGGTGGCATATCGACTGTTGGCTAAAGGACAAGACTGACGATTACAGAGACCAGTAACATTGTATTGGTTACGACAGAAAGTACCAGTGGCAGTTCTGAAAGGAGGGGTTTTTTTTAAAGGTTAGCTTTTTTTTCTGTTTTAAAAAAAAAAGAGAGAGATCTCGAATGTTATGGGTAACCTACTTGACTTTGTAGGAACAAAACTGCTGGTTAATAACCTGCCAAATGACTTCGTCCGACTGCATGATCTACTTAATTTAGGTAAAAAAAAAAAAGAAGGGAAAGTGCTTTTTTTTTTCTAAAATTTGAGCCTTTTTTTTGGCTGGCACTTTTTTTTTTTTTTTTGCGACTGTAAGGAAAAAAAGTGACGCTTTTTCGTTCGATTGAAACAAAGCCACCAAAAGACTTGATTTTGTATGTGTCTGTGCTTATTTAGACTCCGGTTGGCATGATAACTCATAGAGAACTGGGATTTCTCCATCATTGCGACAGATAAAACAATGGGCTACACAAAAATATATTAGGTGTGTGTGAATGGTGGGTGGCCCGAGGATTGAAAAAGTATAAAATTTGTATTCATGAAAAAAAAAAAAACCACAAATAAAAAAAATGCATTTTGATTTATGCATGACTTTTTTTTTAATCCACCGTCCATTTGTTCACCACCAAAGATTTTTTTGTTTATTTCTAAAAATAAAAATGGCCTTTGTGTAAGGACCATTTCGGTTGACTTTTATGGAAGTCGTATTTTAAGTATTTTTTTTTATAAACTTGTTTCAGGATTAAAATAACAGTGGTTTTATTTTTAAAATATAATATATACTACATAATCCTTTATCAGTTGTCGACAGCATATCGTATTTAGTTTAAATAGAAGCCCAGTCTGGCTAGAGATGGTATTCTACTTCAGGAGTTTTCATAAAGCTATTGTGCATATCACGGAATCCACCGTTCATGGGATTACATTGGCCAAAGGAAGAGGACGTATTTTCCAGCCTACAGGAAAATCAAGGTGATGTAGCTATGATCAAGAAGATGATGGTTCTTAGTATAAATTTTAGTCTGAATGTAAACCATTATTACCTGGATTTAATGTTTAATATGTCTCTTGCAACGGCATTAACTATTCTGTCATAAAGTTAATAGGTTGTTACCAATAAAATCTTTTATCGCATAGTTACCCTATTTGATGGAGCACATAAGAATCCCATTATCTACTTTGAAATGAAATTAATAGCTGTTTACTAACGAAAATTATATTGCATAGTTACCGTACTCGATGAATCGCATAAGTCTTTTGCTTGATCTATAGAAACTAGAGGTAAGAAGACTGGATAGTTACGAATAGCCTTTTATATTTATACCAACATTTTATATACATAGCAAAACTCTGTAATGACACGCGTCCATGACCCGATATTAAAAAGTTGCGACGCTTCACAGACACCTACACTTAATTTTTAATAAAAGAGACTAATATAAGACATTACTTCTTTAGAATTTTGAGATTTTTAGTCTTGTAATGGAACAAAAAAAGAATAAAAAGAAGATGAAAATAAAAAAAAAATTCTTATCTACGCCACAAGATGCGAATAGTAAACAATGCATTATGTAATTGAAATATATTCACAGTGTTAAAAACGCAAATTCGTGATATAACCAATATGCCGGAATAGCATCGTTTTTGTTTAAAAAGAACAATACCGACAAGTTTATTTGACTCACCGTCCAAAGCCAATTATATCAGCTCCTGAAAAACAAATGGTGGGTTTATGTTGCTTGAGTACGTAATTAATGCAGCAATGTATGTCATGTGTTTCCCAAAAGATGCGACATTGTTGAATATTTATGAAATGTTCCAAAGATTTTTGATATCAGTTATCATTAAAGATAAAATCTGAACATTGCTCAATTCATCAGAGCTTGATATACTCACAGAACAATAAGTAGAACGTGCAATAATAAAAAAAAACCAAGATAAAGTTTCTCACAAAAAATACAAACAAAAAAACTTTGGTTGAATTATTTTATACCTGATGGATATTGTGTATTTTATAGAGCATACATTTACACTCCATTTTTTTATCTGTAAAAGTAGTTTTTATTGCTTCAAGATTAGCATTAAAGCATAAAAAGAATATGTTATATGTAATAGTATCCTATGATTATTTTTCAGGTTGCACAATAAAGCATATCTGCTTGAGCTAAATAAAATGTACAAATAATGCCTAATACGATTGGACATAGAAAGTAATTTTTAAAGCGAAAACGTCGTTATGATGCATCAAAAATGTCGTGTGACATTATTTCTTCTGTCGTTTCATCATACATGAAAAAAAAAGAGGTGCGATGGGAGTTGTGTACCACTCTCAGCCTTTCAAACAGTTGCATTGACAACTAATCCGACTTAGTGTGACCATGTGTCAGTAAATTTTCTATTGGTATATTGGGCACGTCTTTGTTGCCCTGTATATAAAGTAAAAAAACCGGGTACAAATTCCATCATCTATCATAATGTCTTCTACAAAAAAAAGGACCAAGATTTGCCATTGCAACAAGTGTGGCGGTTGCTCAGTTCCAATCAATACTGCTACACGACATGCCGAAAAAAAAATGTACGAGGAGTCATGCCAAAAGGCGGCAGCTTCCAAAAGAAGTTTGGATGAACTAGAAGAAAGTGTGTAACCCTCATCAGATATTTACCTACAACAAACTGTAATCTATACTAACAGAAATTTTAATAGATGACGCCGTAGTAGACACCAGCTTAGAATTTTCACGTTTGAACGTATCTGTTATTGAAGCAGAGTTTGCACATGTTAATATCAGTTCGACTCAAGTTGATAACCATTTTCAGGATGAATGCTCTTCAGGTATGCATACAAAAAAATGATTTATAACATGATGCTGAGTAATGTTTCAAGATGATGAGCGCGATTATGAAGAAGGCTTTATCTTTGATCAATCCTATAGCATTGATGCAAATGATGATAATGAAAATCAGGTTATTGTCGAAAGCAGCAGTGAGATATATTGGACCGATGAAGTTCTCAAAATGCTAGATGATTTGGATGATCAAGGTGAAAAATTTATCATAAAAAAAGGTAGGCTTGAATTTCGGAATAAATATTTGCAACTTTATTGAAACAATCGTAGTCCAACAAAATAATCATCCCAGAATACCACAAGATCCCACTTACTTGTTTATTTGTTGTTTTGTACTTATATTCCAAATGGACTTCTTGACTATCATCGCTACACACAAATTACTTGATCTGTTCCGTATGCTATTCAGCAATTTTGAGTTTCCAAAATCGTTACCCACGATCAAGCTTCAAACTGGATTTATCGATCTTACCAAAGATATGACTGTCTACGCAACTTGTCCTAAATGCTATTCAGTTTATCTTTATGCTACAAGCAACGGGTTAACACAGCCTGGGCCTCCACAAATATGTACATTTATCAATATCCTCAAAAAAGTACCTTGTCAAACCCCATTATTTCAAAACGGTTCCGATACTCCAATCAAAAAGTTTGTATACCATTGTCTTATAAGTTCGATCCAAAAGTTGTATCTGAGAGAAGGATTCGAGGAGAAGTGTGAAGAATGGCGTAGTTTTGAAGAGGCTGTAAACCCAACTGATATGATGTACCATTGCTCCCAGGGAAAAATGTGGAGAAGCATTCTTTCTCCCAGTGGCGACCCTTTTGTAAACAGCAGTAGATCTTTATGTTTGACATTGAATGCAGGTTAGAATACAAAAAAAAAAAAAAAAAAAAAAAAAAAAAAAAGGTAAAGACGAGATATACTTACAACCCAGTTAAACATAGATGGATTCCAACCATATGATACTACCTCCGCTTCTTGCGTCGCTTTTTATCTGCAAGTAAATAATTTACCAGTCGAGGAACGCATAAAGAAAGAAAACACGATACTGCTTGCATTAATCGAAGGACCGCATGAACCCAACACTTGTCAAACACAACGCCTATTATCCATTGTTACAAACCAACTTCGCTCCTTGTATTTTGGTGTTCAAATGTCTACATTCAACTCTGGAAAACATGGCCAAGATTACGGTGCTACTGTCAGAGCCTGTTTGTATCAAATCTTGTGCGATTTACCCATGCAACGAAAATTGAGCGGATTTACTGGATTTTCTTCTACGCGATCATGTTTCCGATGTGATAGATCGTTTAAAGTTTTTCCTGACACATCTAATTTGGATTATTCCGGCTTTGATGCTGTGCATTATCCTGCAAACGCCAATAAGAAGCTGAATGACATTCAATCCGACAAGTGGTTAAATAGCCATAATAACGCCGAAAGACATCGCCAAGACAGGGCCCACGGTATGAGATATAGCGTTTTAAGGAGTTTGAGGTACCTTGATCTTGTAAAAGCTACCACCCAGGATCATTTACATTGCATTTGGCTGGGTCTTGCAAAATCAATTATGTCAAAGTATGAAGAATTTGGATTTTTTAAACCACAACACTATCAGAGGTATTATAAATTTATGACACTATATATACGCAAATGTCATTACTAACCTTGTGTAAAAATGTTCCAGTATGGCCGCACTCGCTTCAAGTATCATCACGCCCAACGGTTGCAGCTCTATACATGCCAAAATAAAAGGAGGTTTTTCTTATATGAAGGGCATCGAATTCGAAATCTGGACCTTGCACTATTCCGAATATGTCTTAAAGTACATGATTGTTTCTGATAGATTAGTTGATGGATTTCATAAAAAGCATTATGCAAACTGGTTACAATTTGTGCAAGCTTGTAGAATTGTTGTACAACCCGCGATTACTACAGCCCAGGCATTCGAAGCACGAGAACTCTTCCGCTGTTTTTGCAAAGACTATGTGGTACTTTTCGGCCCTGAGGCAATCAAACCTAACTATCATTACGTCCTCCACCTGTCAGAAAATATTGAATACTATGGCAGTACATTCAACACTTCTTGTTTCTCTCTCGAAAGAATGAATGGTGTCCTAAAGCAGTCGACAGAGAATAGAAACCTTCGATCAATTCAAACTTCGTACATGACAAATTTTTTGGAAAGCATTCATATCTCGTCTCTCATTAAACAATTAACAAGCACCAATATCATTTCTAAAGATCAAGCCCACATTCTCCACAACACCAGCGCTATCAACCAATCCTTATACACAAGCTCCAGTCCTCAAGATCGCATTAATTTTTACAAATTGTCTTCCTATGAATATACCAATTCGGGAGGTGTGGTGACCGGATCAGAAATGCT